TCCGAAATGTTATTTTTTTATCGGCGAAAAACTTGCGAACTGAAAAATTTGGTTGCACAACTTTCCCTTTATCATGTACACCCAGCGACACCGATGCCAGCTGACTGTGCTCCCGTTATGGATTCACAGTCAGCGAAGTGCTACGTTTTGAAACCAAAGCTAAGTGCTTCAAACCACTCACCAAGATATGGATTATTGCAATATTGGATTCATCGTGAATGAAGAGAAAGCAGAACGTGTGCGCCACATGCTGCGTGGTTCATCTTATGTCGTTAGTTCCAATGAGTTTTTACGTAAAACACAAACAAAACGGGCCTTTTCAGGGCCACCACACACTCCCAAAATTGAACTACCGTAACAAACACACTACTTAAATAAATCAAACGCGTTCGTTTTTGACAAATAAAACTTTATTGGTGACCCCTATTTTGGCTAAAAATCACTCTGGGCGTTTAACCGAGGATGTCCCCAACATGTAACTTTTGTGAAAACAGGGAGGGGCGCGTGCTCGGGGTAATACGGTAGTTCATATTTTCAGCACAGTTTCAGATGTTACAATTGTGGTGTCTTACCAGTGACAATGCTTGAATGTTGCAGTGTGTAGCCAAGCTGTATTAGTGCTTCCTTAGGGAGATTGGAGACTGGTAAATCATTAGGTACAAGAGTGTAATCATCAACTTCTAACTGATAAAATGGACTGCCATCTTCTGTATAATTACCAGTGGATACTTCAACCATGCAATGTATGGGAAGATGACGACATCCTACAATTAACATAATAGCTATTGAATGAAACATATTTGTGTTTGTGTGAGAACATTCAGGGGGGGGGGGATAAACTTCAGCTGTTACCACTTGAGCTAACTTCTTTAAAACTGTGTTAACTAATTTGAATCAAAGAGGTGGTTCCAAACTGAATTAATTAATCCAGATTTTGTATTATTTTTGTAACAAAATCTGTCAAGACATGTAGTTAAAATAATCAAGCTGACATGGTCGCAAATTAATTATGCTGAATCAAAACAAAACATGTTTCAAATGGTAGACAGGATTTAGATTCAAAATTAATTCTAATTTTGAGTGAAATATATGTGTGAAACATTTAGTCCAGTCCCGCTGGGCGATGGACACAAAATGTATGCAAAAAGGACACAGCAGATGAGCAAAATGATTTAATTCAGCAAGAAAAAATGTATCAAATGAATAGCTTCTGCAATAGTTTCTTTCTTTCTTAGGTGTTAAAAGTTGATGTAGGTGGATTTTTCGTTGAAAATAGAAGTCCTAAACAAGCAGCCTATCGGCTGAGATAGCTCCGCTGTTAGCAATGCACATTTCAATTAAAGAACTGAAGACATCATTAGAAAATGAACAATATGTATAGTATCAAAGCAAGAAGTCGAAAATATCACTTTTTACCAAAAATGACAAAAATATTCACCAAAATTAGAGAATTGAAGATATCATCACAAAATGAACAAATCTGGGAGAGGTCCACATGTAGTATCATTATATGTAATATCAAAGCAATTGAACTTTTGGTTTTTAAGAAGAAGTCGAAAATATCACTTTTTACCAAAAATGACAAAAATATTCACCAAAATTAGAGAATTAAAGATATCATCACGAAATGAACAAATCTGAGAAAGGTCTACATGTAGTATCTATATATGTAATATCAAAGCAATTGAACTATTGTTTTTTAACAAGAAGTCGAAAATATCACTTTTTACCAAAAATGACAAAAATATTCACCAAAATTAGAGAATTAAAGATATCATTACAAAATGAACAAATCTGAGAGAGGTCTACCCAAGGTACATATACACCAAGTATCAAAGCATTCAGGCTTGTAGTTTTCAAGAAGAAGTCGAAAAAGTAAAACATTGACACGGACGATCACTCATATGATAAGCTCCGCTCG